TGAACAAGTAACTCTCTTCAGAAAATCGTATCTGATGCTCTCCAACCTCCACTACCGAAATCAAGTACTTCAGCCATCGTAATTGACGATTCCGATTCCGTACACAAGCCTAAGGTTGAAAGATATGAACAGCCACCGCCTGAACCAGTGACTGCAACATCACATGCAAAATTCAAAGAAATGTGTCGTTCAAATGATTGTTGTTCTAAACAAATTAAAATTAAGATCCAGGACTGAAACAAATGTGTCAATATTGAATTGTAGTGTTGTAGTACTTTTTTCCATAGAAAGTATAATTAAATTAGTGCGATTTGCACCCTCTTTGTGATTTGTGTGATATAATTACATATTTTTTCAATCATACAACTTCAATACACTGTACATTTTTATGAATAGCGCCACCACATACAATAGACGGGGTTCAGTGATTTAGACACAAACACAATATGCCATGCTTTAATGTGCAAATGCAATGCAAGTTAATGGCAGCTACCTGATGGCTGTAGAAATCTACATTATATTTTGACTCATTTGGGAGTTCATCTGGGTGTCTTTCATGTGTTCAGATATAACTAAGTCACCCACGTGTTGATTTCAATCTAGCTTGTAAAAAACGAGATAATCCAAAGGTTGAAACCCCCACAATCATCGTCATAGTGTGTACATAACAACATGGCGAGAATATATATTATGAATACAATTGAGAACGCAATTTCGTTAAAATGTGTGAAAATGAGCGCAAATTGTTAAAATTACTATCATGAAATATACCAGTTGAAATATATAAAGTATTTCCAGATAACATTTTATTTAGGCAAATAAATGACCTAGCGCGCTGATTGTTAGTAAGCGTGCGAACGAATTTTGTCAGCTGGGGCTTGTAAATGATGCAAGTACAGAAAAAGACAAACCCTTATTTTATGATTATTCGATTAAAAAAACGAATTTGTCTTAAATTAAAAACAAAAATCATTGGATTATTTTCAAAGGAATAAGCGGATTGATTTCAAATTTTGAAGACAGATTTAGGGGTTATATTTGCAAATCTAATGTGATAAATGTGTACAGTGCTATTTTGTATTTATCAAAAATGCAATGTTTTGTAACCTATTCTACTGGCAACCTCGTGGTTATAGCTAGTAATATGGTTCTGTATTTGTGTGTGAAAACACAGTTTCAAACTGTAAGACTGCCATCATGCTTTTAACACACTCTAATCTTATGCTCATTATACTACATTGCAATCCATACGAACATTCTGCAATGTTTGACCTTTGCTCTATCACGTGGCAATAAATTAAAATACATTTATCTCGCAGTGTCATGCAGTTTACTTTGTGTTATTTACCTTTCGTCCAAAAAAAAACAAACAGATAAACCAAATATTTAAAAACCGATTTCTTGTTGACTTGAAAACGAAGCAGGAAAAAACAACACCAAAGAAGCATTTGTTTACCATGTCTCGTATTAATAAAACCTAAACTTCTCCACCACCCCCCCTCCTCCATCACATTTGTGCGTCATAAAATAAGTCATAATTACGTTGTTCTCACTGTGAATTTATTTCACATCAAATACTCTAAAAACTGTCGTAACTAAACAATTATACCATACAACGGTGCTTAATTGTTGAACTTGCCCAAAATACGCCCTGGCAAAACAAGGTCAGTGTGGCAAAGGTGTCGCTGTTATGACAAATGACAGTTATCTGGTAAAACATCACTGACTTAATGCTAATAAAACTGATTACAATTTTCACAATGCACACAACACGTGGACATTGTACCGTATAAAACACGTCGTTGTTACAGTCGAATAATATGTACTGTATCGCCCTGGTACAAAAAAAAATAGGGAGAGTTTATTTCAATGTCATATTTAATAAAACAATAAGAAATAATATAACGTTCCTTGGAAAAGTAGTGATATAAATGAGTCACAATGTGTGAACTTATTTGACTGTGCATAACAATAAACACGACAATTTGCAATTGCAGTGTAAAACCTGTATTTACGCGAGTGGGATGGTTATAGAGAATACAAATAAGAAACTGATCATATATCGCATGCCGATGAAATTTGGTTGATTATGTACAATCGTGGAGCTACAGTGTCATAGTAACATGGAACAGCATTTTTTTGTTTGTTACAGTTGTAATTTCTATTTTTAAAACAATTACGTAGATCACAATATTAACATTAATATAGCTTTTTTTAAACGAAATAATTCAAGATAGTATCCTATCAGTTGCTATATATATTTTTTTCACACTATAATTTGGTTTGAAAACTTCAGTCTTATATATACAGTTTGATAAACACAATTTTAAAAGAGAAACTACAGAACAGGGTTAAACACAGAATTGAATGGACATGTGAGGAATTTTATAAAATGCTTGTGCTCCGATTAGGGAAATTTAATGACGAACATAGATATATCGTCGATCGTAAAATAAATGATTTCTGTCAGTCGGGATATATACATGTTTACAATGTATAAACATTCATCGTGAATGATCGCACTGGGAAGGTCCGTGTCTAGAAATGAAATACATCGCGTAACATGCCTTTCGTACACGTTGAGTTCTCCGTTAGCACATGTATTGACAACCACCATGGTATCGTAATGTTTATACATTGGTATCTTCAAGACTATCAGCATAACTGTCGTCTGAATAATCACCATACATATTCACAGCAGTACTCCTGAAATTTAATGGAGCTGTGCCATCAACATTATTCGCTTCAACACGGACGTTGTGTTGTTTTTGTTCACCAGCCAATAGCCGTTGTTGTTCCCTGAGCTGCCTCCTTTGTAGTCTTCGTTCTTTCCGCTTTCTTTCTTTTATGATCTCCAAATCTCGTCCTTTCTGACATTTGCCGCAACACTTCCTGAGGCACAGTATACAACCGCTCAAAATATAAACAAAACCCGCGACCATGAACGACGCTTTATATCCGCCAGTCATATCATATAAACGACCTGCAGAGACAAAAATATATTAGACACAGGTACAATTAGTGATAGAATAGCATATATTGAACCCAGGCCAATGAGCACATTTTGCATATACATGTACTCATTCTAAATCGCATGTTTTGATTTTCATAATGCTTTCTCATGCCACGTTTGTAACACATTCACCATACTTGTAACATATTAACATAGCTGTCCACGACCTCGTGGCACGCGCCCAGGACACTTTTTGACACTTGAGATAATTAAAGCGGAGGAGTCGTCACATGCGCATGCGTCAAATGGCCATAACGTGTCATTGTTTACGAACAAGCGTCTACCCATGAGCCTTTGCGTCAATTCCCGCGCGTGCGCAGGTGACGACCCTCCCGCTTTAAATACTAGTAAGCTGTTTTCAAATAAAAAATCTTGTGTTTATGACCCGTATTGGTATACCGTGTCAATCTTTATTCAGATTACTTCTATGCGTCAATGGAAATGGAAATTCCACACAAGTGTTTAGTCACAGTCCCTCTATAGAGGGACTGTGGTTTAGTAAACTACTATATTATCTTAGCTGTAATATAATGGACTGGTGATTTCCTGTTTTGAGTTTATCACATCATATTCAATCACATCATTCAGAACCTTACTCACGTTTTACATTCGCTGAATCTCTATGATAATCCGACTACATTCGACCTGTATTTTAATATATAGGGCGTCTAGTAAGATGCATTATGAAGTTTACACAATTCATAAACCTGCCTCTAATCAAATTGGAGTTTGATAATAGATTGTATCTACTAACCTGCTACTGGTGCACCAATCAAATGACCTAATCCATAGATCAAAAGTGTGAGTCCCATACCAGTAGGCATGAGTGCATCTGAAGCTACAACGTCTTTCATTACAACTGCCACTAGGGGATTGTAGCATCCACTTATTGTACCATACAGAGCTGCATATACCATAATCTTTGTATAACTACCACCGATAGGTCCAAATATAATGGTAATGAAACCAATGAGAAAGATTGTAATAGTAAAGAATTGATAACTGGTAACATAGCCTTTACTGATTGGTACACCGTGGAATAATCGTCCAGCAAACCCGGTGAGGCCAATCACAGAGACAACCCAAGCGGCTTTACCGTGTGAAACGCCCTGATACACTGCACGTGGAACTAAATGTACAAGTGGAGTGAAAGTGCTGAAGCCTAGAAAGAACACGGCAATGACGTATATAGTAAAAAGATAGTTGTCTTTCCAAATATTACAGTCTATTCCTTTTGGTCGCTGTGTTTGGGTGCTCTCATTATTAGCGGATAATGCATTACTCTGTCCCTCATGTCGCAGTAAAGGCTTCTCTTGTAAGATGTCATTTGCATGTGGTACCGGTGCGGGATGTTTCTTCAGAGGAGGTGACCGCATGAGTGTCGCGAAAACGCATATGTTTAAATTTATACTGCCTAGTAAAAATAACGAACCTCTCCATCCATAATATTCAATTAAACCATGGCACAAGGGGGGAAATATCACAACTCCCATTGAAGCCCCGGCGAAGGCTATCCCATTAGCCATAGCATGTTTCTGCTTAAAGTAATAGCTAATAATCAACACTGTGGGAACAACAACCAATCCATACGCAGCTCCTGTGAATTGAAAGAATTCCGGAATTTATCAATATTAGATTAATTAACATTGAGTAATTTATGTCTACCTTCGTATTCATATTGTTCCAAAATAAATTCGTCATGGGCGTCAATTAATATTTTTAGCCCACAATAAAAAGGAAAAGGTATAGCCATACTCACCAGTTATGACACCAAAGGTGATGTACAAAAATGGTATACTTGTAGCAAATGAACTCAATATCAAGCCTGCACTAGAAAGAATCCCACCTAGAAATATAGTTCTACGCACATCAAAACGATTCGAGAGACCAGCTGCAATGGGACCTGTATTAAAATAAATCCAATACAATTTCTTTCAGTAATTGTGTTGGTTCAAATCAACATTAATTATTGCTTGAATATCATGCGCGTATAGCACCAAAAAGCGCTTCAAACACTTACTGCAGAAGAAAGTCATGGACATCATAATAGACGCGATCCAAGACACTTGTTGGGCATCCACTTCAAAATACTCTCTAAATTCGATGAAAAATACTCCAAAGGCCTCGGACAATCCTGGTGTAAACAACATGCAACAAAACCCAGCAGCGGCCACAACCCATCCATAACCGCCATCTGGCGCCTCGTACCTGTCAAGTCCCCCGGCTTTTTGTTCTCCTGACATTTTGAATCAATATATTTATATATCAATCTGCAATAAATGTAAATAGAATATTTTCAACATGCTCATTCATGAGTCGGAGATTTGATTACTTTGCTGGGGACTGTGAGTGAACAGTAAACTAGTATCATTGTGTTTTCACAGGGAGTTACGAGAATGTTCTATTTAAACACTAAATCCCTGAGCATGTCCGGTGTGAATGTGTTCACATTAATACATTCAACAAGTTTGTAAAACCCACATAATTTGTTATTCAAAATCAATAAGGTCGTTTTTCTAAGTGTTTTGTGTTCAGTTTAGTCACAGACATATCATTACCACCTGTTTCAGGTAATTGAAAAGAAATAAAATGGCTTGGAAAATTTCAGTTTTAATGTGTTATATCTAAGAATGGTTAATATGTCTTTGATGATTTGCATGATTCAAAGTTCAGAAATAATTGTCAATAATAAGAGTATCCCAAATTTAGGTGTAACCTACATTAACCCATGATTAACCTGACGGTGGGTGTCTCTGGAAAATTAACGGTGTATGGAGTTA